TTTTGGATTATTTTGATTTATCTCTCCTTTTCTTCTTTCCTTGCTGAGATTCCTAGAACAATGCAAGTACCTGCTTGGGCCCTCGGGGTTACTCGGGGCCTTCAGGGTCATACCTGCTGGTGCACAGGGCTCTAGGGCTGCACCCAGTGATGATTGGGAGACCATGTAATGCTGTGGATGGGACTAGGGTTGGACACATGCAAGGTACATCTTAACCCCTGTCCCTTACAGGGAAGTCCTTGTGAATCCCTCTGCCCTAACTTACACTTGGCTCTTCCCCACACAACCTCAGCTGCTGCTTTGAGAGCTCTGGCTGCGGCACATTAATATCCTTTACTAGACCCCACTGAGCATGAAGATGGCTCCTTTTGGGCCAACAGTGATCGCAAACTACCCCCAGGAGTCACATCACAGGTTCATCTGCAGCATAATCCATGCTGGAAAATAGTCAAGGCAATTATGACAAAACCACTTCTGCCAATTACCCCCCATTTTGACCCCCTAATTTGATGATACCCTGAAATTTTATGTCCTCTTTGAGCTTTCAGTCCACTAAGTGGGCTTGCAATAAGCATTGGTTTAAGGGCTTCGGATAGACACCTTGGGAACGACGAATGAAGAGCTGATGGGCCAGGATAGGTAGTAACCCCTGATTTGGAGGGGGGCGGCTGAGGATGGATGGTAGGTGGAAGGAGTTTCTTACAACTGAAGTATGACCGAGAATCTTTCTGTGAGTTCACCTCTTCTAGGGAGGGTGGGCTATGGAGATATTACTCCAAGATGGATTGATGAGATGCAATTAAAAAATGGATCTCACATTGACGTTTGGGGTGTTTTTTTTGGAAGAGAGGCTCCACACCCAGCTGTGCTTGGGGCTGGGGGTACAGAACCTTACCTGCTGGAGTATATCTCTTGCCTCCTGTTGGTATTTTTTTTATTCTTGATTAATTTTTAAAAAAAATTTTATTAGTGAGATACCATGAGGTACAGTTGTAGACTTACAAATTTTGTGCTTGGGTTTCAATTCTAGTTTTAATGGCTTACCAAATGTGCCCAGGTGTTGTGCATATATAGCCATGAACGATATGAAAATCATCTTTGGAGAGGAGACACACAAATACATTTTTAATTGTAAACTGTGATACAGGCTATAGAAAAAGGTAATAATGGGGCATCATAAATCTTGAGACCAGCTGGTGAAGGATTATTGAGTGTCATTTCAATATAGGTCTGAAATAGTTTTAGTTGCTAGGTTTGTTGGAAAATTCTTGAACATGTCCATTGTATTTTATGGTTTTGAATTTCCAGCTCCTCGTTTGGTCTGTGACAGACACCTTTTTAATCTTTGCCAGGACCATGGCTGATTTTTTTTTTTAGGAATTGCAGGTGACAAGAATAGACCTCTGGCACCAGTGTTTGTTCTGGAAAACAAAGCATTACTGCACACACATCCACTGATTGATGCAACTCTATGAGGAATAGAAAAAAAAGACATAAACTGGGCCAAACTTTTTTTTAAACACAGCTGGTTTAAGGGTGGTAGTGCACAGGGATCAATCCTGGCAGTGCCCGGGGGCACTGCGGACCTCCATATTCAATGCTGGAGCTCTAACATGTCAGCCACATACAAGGCAAGCGCCTTATCCATTATTCTATCTCTGGTTCCAAACTTTTCACTATTTTGGTGGTGGTGGTGATATTGGGAACCATCTCAGGGCTTATATATAAAAAATAGGCATTCTACTGCTGAAGTACTTCTCTGAACACCCCCCCCCCCCCAACACACACACCCAATCCGAGTCTTTCTGGATACTGGGATTCTTAGATACTAATCCCGTTATTGGTTCTTGAAGTGAGGACAGGTTAAGTTTGGGCACTCACATTCTACTTTGTTCCCAGAGAAGCAGGGAAAACAGGTCTGTAGAGAGAAGCGGAGGGAAGAACAGGTAATAGAGACAGCAGGGACGAGAGCAACTGCAGATCTTTCTCCCTGGAGAGAAGAAAGGGACTAGCTACCTGGCTTCCTGTTGCTAGTTTACATCCTTGTCCCAGTCCTTCATGATGTCTTGTTGCTCTCTGTGCCTCAGAATTCTATAAGATTATTTCCCTTAATATGTTCATTTTTCTACATGAAGAAATCTAGGGGTTTTTGTTACTTGCAGACAAAAGATGCTTCAGTAAGACTGGATTTTTATCAGATTAGCTCTTTTGTTCAGCAAATGTGGATTGCTTGCTTCCATGCCATACAAATTTGTGGATTGCACAAATGGAATGGTGGGAGTAGAAATAAAACAAAATCACTCAGCAGTGAAACTAACTGATCTAGGTGATACTCCTTGGAGCTTTCAGATTCCCCCTGGGTTGGGGGTTTCAATACAGCTATTTTTAAAAGACAGTCCTGTTGGAGCTAGCTTATGTGATGCAATACAAAGATGTCCATCTTCTGGTCCCATATAATGAAGAGAGGGGAGGAAGCAGGGACCGATCTTCTCATCTCTGCATCTCTGCCTCGGCAGAGATGAGAAGGCATTGAAGACGTACTAGCTCCTAACATGAACAGTAGGCGTGTGCTGGCAAGAGAGAAAGGTAGCAGGGACACAGGGAGGCAGGAGGGAAACAGGAGGGACGAAGAACGGAGGTGAAAATGGAAGGTGTCTGTGAGGGATGGCAACTGGTGGCTGAGGTGCAGGATGCGCATAAAAATGCAAGAAGTCTGAGAAGATTAGTGAAAAATTACCTAGCTCCCGGAGTTTGGATTTGTGGGTGAGTGCTTTATTTGAAAATTCTTACAATATCCAGAGGATTAGGAAGTGCCTTGTACACTTGTACACTTGTGCTGGGTATTCAATAAATGTGCTAAAAAAATATTATGGCCAACAGGGCCTGAGTGAAAGTACAGTGATTAGGGCACTTGCCTTGCACACAGTTGACCTGGGTTCAATTCCTGACCTCCAATATGGTCCCTGAGTACTGCCAGGAGTGATCCCCGAATAAAGAGCCAGGAGTAAGCTCTGAGCACCTCCAGGTGAGGTCAACATACAGCTCTTTAGGGCCGGGCATTAAGGTGGGTAAGGTGCTTGCCTTGGACGTGACCTAGGTTTGATCCCTGGCACCCTATTATGGTCCCCCAGGAACAGAGAACCAGGAGTAAGCCTTGAGCATTGCTGTATTTACCCCTCAAACAACAAAAAAAGACATCCACTTCATTTTCTTTGCTTTTATTTTTCCATACCCAGCAGGGCTCAGAGACTGTCCGTGGTGCCTTGTTCTGCTGTTGCTTCTGCTATTCTCTGGGACATGTGGGCCAGGAATGTACACTGGCCCTCCTTGACCCAATACTTGTTTTAAAACGAGATTGTTTTCTTTTCTATACATAAAACTTTCAAGATGTCAATCGAGTCCCACTTAGTCTTAGGTTGTTAAACTCAAAGGCTGTATTTTATGCTTATTTGAATAAACATTTACGGACAATGTAAGTTCAGTGAGCGTTAGGTGTGTATCAGGTCCATGGCCTTTTGCCAGAATTGTAGATATAATCTGCCTATCACCTCTCTCTTGCAACTGAGCTAGCCCAGGGGCTGGAGCTATAGCATAGCGGGCAGGGCATTTGTCTTATACTCAGCCCACCTGGGTTCAATCTCTGGCATCCCCTATGGTTCCTGGGCCCACAGATAGGGATCCCTGAGTGTAAAGCTGGGTATGGCAAAAAAAAAAAAAAAAAAAAGCCAAAACCCAAAACAAACTCCCAATCAAAAACCAAAAGAACCCTCCCCCCAAACCTACTTGATCTAGCCTGACCAGGCCTTGCCAGAAATGTTTATTGTGAAAATGCACCAAGTCCCAACTAAATATCATGCCAAGTAGCACTGACAATCAAGGGGTGCTTTGGCTTTAAGTGGTCTGGTTTTGTTTTTTTTTTGCAATCATCACCTTCACAACAAGTCTCACGGTGGAGACGTTACTGGGCCCGCTGGAGCAAATCGATTGAAAAACGGGAGGACAGTGACAGTGACATCTCCACCATCAAAAGCACTGTTAGGAGGTGAAACTTGCTCTTCAGAAGTTTAGCTGTGGGGCTGGAGCGATATAGCACAGCGGGTTGAGGGGGGGGGGCGTTTTCCTTGCACGTGGTCGACCCGGGTTCGATTCCCAGCATCCCATAGGGTCCCCCGAGCACCGCCAGGAGTGATTCCTGAGTGCATGAGCCAGAAGTAACCCCTGAGCATCGCCGGGTGTGACCCAAAAAGCAAAAAAAAACCAAGTCTAGGTGCTAAAAGAAACGATGGGGGGAAGCGCAAGCCAAACGGCAGCAGGCAGAGATGTCAAATAATGTTCGGTGCTGGACACACTTCGCGCGTCCGGTCCGGGTTCTCCCTGCCCAGGAGACAGCGGGATGGGCCCGGGCAGGTGCACGCGGCTCCTGGCCCGAGTGGGGGGCGGGTGGGCGGTGGGCAGGACGCGCGGGGCTGGCCGGGCCGAGCATCTCCGCGGGGGCCACGCACAGGCTGGGAGGCCTCAGCCTGCAGCGGCCTCCGCGGCGCGTCCCCGGGCGGCGCCAGGGGCCGGCGGCCCGGCGGGCGGGAGGGCGTTTCCGGGCGACTCGGCGGGACGCCCGCTCCGCGCCGGGCCGGGGAAGGGCGGGGTGCGGGGTGCGGGGTGCGGGCCCGAGCAGGGAGGCCGGCGAGCGGGCGGGCGGGCGGGCGCGGCCGGGGCGCGCCGCGGCCCCGACTCCCACTTCCGGGTGGGCCGCGCCTGCGCGGTGGCGGCCGGGCCGTACCACCGCGGCGCAGGGGGGATCCGCCCCGCGGCCCGGCGCGTCCACGCGGGGCCGGCGCGGCGCCCGTCGCCGGCGCGGGCCGCGGGCGGGCGCGAGGGCCGCGGCGGCGGGGCGCGACCATCGCGCGGGCCGGCGGGGGCGGCGGGCGGGGCGGCCATTGTCCGGTCGGCGCGGCCCGAGCAGCGGCGGCCGCGGCCCGGCCTCCCCCCGCCGCCCGCAGTGGTGCCGCCCGCCGCCAGCTGACCGGCCTGGAATCCCGAGCCCGGACTCGGCCCGCCGCCGCCGCCCCGCCGCCCGCCGGGAGCGCCGCCGCCTCCACCCGCCGCCCGCCGGGAGCCGCCGGACCATGGGGGACGCCGGGAGCGAGCGCAGCAAAGCGCCCAGCCTGCCGCCGCGCTGCCCCTGCGGCTTCTGGGGGTGAGTGGCCGCGCGGGCGGGCGGGCGGGCGGGGCGGGCGCGGGGCCGGGCGGGCGGGGGCGCCTCCCGCGCCCTCCCCGCCCCCCACCCGGGACTTGCATCATCGCCCCCCCAATCGCGCCCCCCGCGCCCCCCGGCCTCGCGGAAGCCGGGCCACGTCACCCCGGAGTCGAACCCAGAACCCGGCCGCGGCCCGCTTGTGCGTTCTCGGCGCGTTTGTTGGGCGCGCGCCCAGAACCCCCGGGGACCCTCCTCGCCAGCCCCCCGGGGGAGGCCCCCGCCCCCACCCCCCAGGGCGCCGAAAAGCCAGAACATTTTCGGGGGAAAAACGCCCCCGAAATGGCCATCCGAAGGGTCTCGGGTCGGCCCGGCGTGCGTGGCCTGCGGAAGCGGGAGCCCCGCACGGGGGCCCGGTCGTTTCCTTCTCCCGCTGGACTCCCTAGGAAATAGATACAATTAGATACATGCGATAAAAATAGCCGCGGCGGCCAATCTATATCACCTGGCCCTGCGGCGTTAAGAGCGGAGACAGAATGACCCGGGTGAGAAACCAACTTCGCCCACTGAAGTTGCAGTTCTGGATCCCCTCGAAACGCCCGGGGTCCCAGGGAAACCCGGGACTGGGCAGGCCAGCTTTCCTGACAGGTCCTTCGGTTTCCCCCTTTCGGTTTTATTTTTCAGGGGCGGTAGGTAGCGTTGCAGAGAGGCAGTGAGGAAATGCTCACTTCTGGAGGGGACCTCCTGGAGAAGATGCTGCAACTGTTTCTCTTTCTATTCTCCCAGGTCTTTGGGGTGGTTAGGTAGAGATTATATATGATTCTAGAAGCCCAGGCAAGGAAGAGAACGTTGATTTTCAGGTGGATTTATGCTAGATCCAGAGATGAGGAGGAAATTCTAATTTTTTTTGGTGGAAGCTCTGGCATCGCTCAAAGTTCTGAAAATGTGAAAGTGCTTTAGGGCTTTATGGCTCTCCCCTCTTCTTGATTTGAGTCATAATTGGGTTTTGTAAATGTTTCCAGGGACATCAATTCCTGTAGGAACCGTTATTGCCTTATAGATGAGGAACCGGGTAGGGAGGAGGATGGCTTGTTCGCCCCCTCCATCAAGCAAGTTGAGGATGGAGCTGAAGAGGTCTTTAGAGTACTTGGTACCATCGCTTTTGTGACATCAGCCGCTGCCTTGCAAAAGTTTGGTGTCACAAACCCCACATGGGATCTGACTTGCTTAAGAAAGGACGGTGGCTTGGAGAAAGTAGTAGCCAGACAACTGGCAGGATATAGGAAAGATCTCCGTCCTGGCAACATGTTAAAAGTGGGCCCCTTACTGAAAAATGCAGAAGTTAAGGGAAAAAGGATAGCCCCTTATCTTTAGCCCGCAGAGTTTTAGTAGCAGCCGAGAAAGTTTGAAAGTTTGGTAGTACCACAGAGAAATAGTTACATTGATGCCCTATTTACCTTCCAGGCAGCTATTGCATTAAAAAAAAGGTCCAATCTTGCACTTTCATGCTCTGTAATTGTGACTATGGTAGAAAGTAGCACAAAGGGTTTGCTATTTTTGTCGAAAGGGTTCATCAGAAGTATAATGTTTTTGCTAAAGGTGACTAGGGTTATTGTTGCCCGGGTATGTAGTCTGTACTTTATACTTAAGTAGTGTAATAAAATTGCTGCTTAGCTTCCATTGTATAAAAATGGAATTCCTTATTTCCTGGCTTCCTTTACAGTATGTTCATTAATAGAATACGTGTAACATATACTTGGGTGGCTCTGATCTGTTGGTGGACAAGGGGCCCCGGGCCTCCTGGGAACAAAGGGTATAGAGAAATAAAGGGACCACGTTTGGGTTGGAATGGTTCAGTGGGGGAGACGCCGTTGAGGTGGGAGTAGTGAGAAGTGCCTGGAGCAGCTGGGAGCGGTAGGAGAGGATGGAGATCCGAGTACCGTGGAGGCAGAGGGGGTGGGCCAGTCAAGGGGCTAGAGATAAGCTGGAGCACTGCACTTGTGAGGAACTGAAAGTTTGTTGGGGTTGGTAGGTAGCTTGTGAAAGGTGCATCAGCTAAAGATGAGACGGCAGCAGTGGGGGCAGATGTGGCACGGGACCAAGTGGTGTTCAGGGCTTTGCCGTTTTATCCCGAGTGCTGGGAAGCTGTTGAAGAACTTTGAGCAGACAGTGATGTGATTTTCCTTTTCTTTTTTGAACGGAGGGCATACCTGGGTGGTGCTGGGGGACTGTTCCTGGCGCTGTATTGGGGAGTTACCCCCAGTGGTGATCAGGGGGCCAATGGGTGCTGGGAACTGAACCTGGGGCTCCATTCTACAGAGCGTGGGCTCGGCTCGTGGAGGTATCTCTCCAGCCCTGTGATTTCCTTGAATATGGAGACTATTCCTATTAAGTAATCTTTATTCATAATCACCCAGTGTGGCTGGGTTTGTGGGTCTGTTTGTGGGGTGTCACTGAATCCAGAGGCGTGAAGACTTGTTAGTGTAACCCAACCAACAGTCATGTTGGCCTGATTTCTGTGGCAGACAGAGAAAATGGAGAGTAGATGTGAAGGCCATTAAGAAGTAACTTTTGGGGCTGGTGCAATAGCACAGCCAGTAGGGCATTTGCCTTGCACCCGGCTGACCCACGTTCGATTCCCAGCATCCCATATGGTCCCCCGAGCACCGCCAGGAGTAATTCCTGAGTGCAGAGCCAGGAGTAACCCCTGAGCATTGCTGGGTGTGACCCAAGAAGCGGAGGAAAAAAATGTAACTTTTGCCTTGTCTCTTAATATGAAGGTTTTTGTACTTTCTAGAAACTTTTGTTACCATGTGTTTGATGGAAGTTGTAGTTCTGTGCATTGATCTTGTGTGGGCCCCCATCTGCAGGGGAGTCTGTTGGGATGTTCTTACGCAGTAGAACCAAAGACTGTTCCTTCGTATTACTATTCTTCAGCAGTCACTGACTCCCGCCACCAAGTGAAGGGCCGTGGTTAAGTAGGAGAACTTGGAGGTCTTGTGGGAGGCAGTTAGAATGGAGATTTGCGAAGCAAATGGTTAGTTCTTTGAATACATAGTTTATAGTTCTCTCTTCTTGGCTAATGTTGTATAATTGCTTGCAGGTCATTAAATTATTGTTATAAAGAGACTATCATTCACTGTGAAATGGACTACCTTGGCAATTGTGGAAAATTTACTTGAAGGACCGGAGTGATCATACGGCGGTCAAGGAGCTTGCTTCGCACACGCCTGACCCAAAACAAAAACAAAACAAAAAACCCAAAAGAGAACTTACTTGTGTATGACCATTGGAAATGATTTGTAGAACAAAACATACATGTTTTCAGAACTTAGGATCATACAGTTTCATCTTTGACACATGGATTTACAGTGGAATAACATTATTTTCCTGATTCATTTTAGGCATTCAGTAATCATTTAAAAAACAATGTCAAATCTGGTTTGAAATAGCCAATTAGGACAATTTCCCTTAGTTGAAATAGATACGTATACTTCTAACCTATACGTGTGCAATTCACTGTCACTGTCCTCCTGTTGTTCATCGACTTGCTCGAGCGGGCCCCTGTGCAAATAGTATTAGATAATAGATTTAAAACTGTCTAGACATTTAAGATGTTCTGAGACAGCTAGGTTCTTCACAACTGTGTTTTAGGGGTTCTCAAAAGAGCAGGCCTAAAGTTCCATTAAAAAGGTAAAGGAAATAAGAAAACTCTGAATATGTTACTGGATAATAGAAAGTATCATTAGAATGGGGGAAATACGGACTTTTTTGGGTAATTCTATTAACATTCTGCTTTTACAGTTGCAGAAGTCTGTTGCATTGTAATAAAGAGTCTTAGGGAAGGGCCACTTCATAAAGAAGTTAAACGCTTACATAAGTTGAAATGTGGGATTTATTTGGCAAACTTGTTTTGATTGTCGTAATTTTATACATGAGGGTCCTGGACAGTGGTCAGGACTCATCTGCCACCTCATGACCTCCTGAGAACTGCCGAGTGTGGTGGTGTGCAAGTGCCTTGAGACCCCCATGTTCCTCCACACTGCAGCGCCCAAGCACCCCAGCATCCTTGGACACTTGCTGGGTGGTGGAGACAGCTGGGCCCCCGAGCACCGCCTGGGAGGCACCTTCTCCCCCAAACGGGATAATTTACTCAAGTAAATTATTTTGGGGGAATAGTGTTTATTATACACCTTTTCTTTGTGGTGCATTCCATTGAAGCATTTTGCTTAGCCATTAGATTTACTAGATAATAGACGCACTTTAAATAAGTTTGGGGTTAGGCAGAGGTGGAGAGTAATCTCACAAAATAAATCCTGTTTTTGTTTTCATTTTGGGGTCACACATGGTGCTGCTCAGGGCTTAATCCTGGCTCTGTGCTCAGGGATCACACCTGGCGGTATTCAGGGTCTATTCCTGGCTCTGCTCAGGCTTACTCTTGGCTCTGTGCTCAGGGAGTCACGCCTGGCAGTGCTCAGCTGCTTGCAAGACAAATGCCCCACCTGCTCTCCGGCCTTCACAAAACAAATTCCTCATCATTGAGTTGAGTGCTTGTAAAAAGTTGATTGAACATGTAACATTATGTGCTATTTCATTTTCTTACCAGCCACAGGGTTCTGACTGGTTTAAATTGGATTACTTTTTTATCATTTTTTCCCTCTGAGCCTAGGTTTTGGGAATTGGTAGAGAACTTCCTTTGCTTGGCAGTGTGTGGCCTTCATAGTGGTTTTGGGTTTTCTGTCCTACTCTTCCAGCTGCCAGACTTCCACCAGCTTAACCTGGGCTTTCAGGGTCACGTGGATACAACATGAATCACTAGTTAATCAGAATGTTCGTTCCAGCTTTGGCACTAATTCGCCCTCTATTATAAAACCGTCTTAAACATCGTCTTAAAAATAGAATAGTTTTGTTTGTATAGTATTTTATTTATGTATTTTTTTTTATGCTACACCCAGTGATGGGCTGTGATGCAATAGCACAGCGGGTAGGGCGTTTGCCTTGCA